ATGCTCTCCCTGGGGGAGGGGGAATTAATGGGTGAGTTCTCGCTCTATCAGTTCCCACAAGAGTTGGTTGTTTATAGGACCCTGGCACCTCCTCTCTCTCTCTTTTTTGCTTCCTCTCGCCATGTGATCTGCTCGTACCTGCCGCTTTCTACCATGAGTAGAAATAGCCTGAGGCCTGTGCCAGATGCAGCTGTCCTAGAATCATAAGCCAAATAAACCTCTTTCCTTTATAAATTACCCAGGCTCAGGTAATTCTGTTACAATAACACAAAATGGACTAATACAGTTGGTCTTCAAGCATCCCTGATTTTGTTCCTGACCACTTTAGTTCTAGTCTTTGACACGCCAGCAATATGATAGATTCATCGATGGAGTTTGCCTAAGCATGACCCAGCCAAAAGCGATGTCCTAAGTTCCTTTTTTTTTTTTCCTTTTTGTCTTTTTTCGTGACCGGCAACGGGATCGCAGCCCTCGGTGTCGTGCCTGCACCGCGTTCAACCAGTGAGCGGACCGGTCTCTATATGGGATCTGAACCCTCAGCGGGAGCGCCGCTGCACTCCCAAGCACCGCACTCTACTGAGGGCGCCACCGGGCCGGCCCCTAAGTTCCTTTTTTTGCAGTTTATTAGATCCCTTTAAGCATAAACTTGTACTCACTGTTATCTTCATGGTTCTTGGTTTTCTGCTGTTTCTGACTGTAAAGCAGCTCCTCTTTGCCAGTTTATTCTCTCTCTTTGGAGTTGCAACATTTTTCATTTAGAACTGGTTTAGGCTTTGGCCTGCTTTTCCCATTATTTTTTAAATGGTTGGTTCCCAGTTACTCTAGATATTCTTGGAGCTAGGCCTGTGGCTATTTTGGCATNGGGCCTGAGTCCAGCACTGGTGTCTCCAGAGGTTCAACTATGAAACCCCAGGAGGCGCCATTCCCACAGACCACAGGAGTCTAAAGCTTTACACAGGAGAAGATACTTTTTCCTAGATCTCTTGTGACATAAATGCATAAAAAGAGTTAATACATAGGAAAGCACAGAAACTTTGGAAAGCCACCAAATCAAGTACTGTGTGTTAAATGTTTAGCACATAGTGCTCAATGGATGGGATACCAAAGTATCTTTAAATACATATCTCAAACCCTTTCTAACCCTCAATGAAAAAGAAAATATATACCTATCTATATCTATATATACCTATACATAGGTATATATTTTCATTAGGGGTTAGAAAGAGTTTGAGAATGGTATTACATATAGGATCTTAAAAATATCCAAATCCTTTCTTCCTACAAGCTCCCAAGGGAGCTGTAGTGATGAGAAACAATTGCAAAATGGGAATTCTCTCAGCAATAGCTGGTAGCAAAGAAATAAGTCACAGGGATGTTGTATTAGTCCATTTATGTTGCTTATAACAAAATACCTGAAACTGGGTGATTCACAAAAAAACC